GTCTCATTATGGGCATAGTCATCATCTATATGGTTTTTTATGTGAACAATGCCTTTGAGTTCGTCTACTATGGCATCTACTTATTCGGCTGTACGATGGAGGTATTTCCCACCTGCTACTTTGGCACTTATTTCGAAATCGAATTCGACCAATTGACCCATATGCTGTTCTCGTGCAATTGGATGGATCAGGGGCGTGAATTTAAAAAGAATTTGCGCATTTGTGTAGAGCAGTCGTTGCGGAAACGTAGTTTTCGTGTCGGTGGCATGTTTCATATAAACTTGAATACCTTCTTTGCAACTTGCAAGGGTGCCTACTCACTATTGGCGCTCGCCCTGAGCATGAAATAACTCGGATGAATGAAGAGGAATTTGTTGAAGATATCTAACAAAAAAACTTAAAAAAAAATACACAAATATCAGCTTAAATATTTTCACCATGCACTTTTAATGTAGCCTTTAGATTGCAATAAATTTATTAATCACCCAGAATTCAAATATTTGGAATTTTTAATTTTCATTTAAAACATAGCAATTTCATTATTTTTTTAAAGACAAGGTTTTACTAAGTCAGATGTGTCCACAATAAGGCTCAAATAAGCCAGCTAAGGTTAATCTGGCGGCTTACGTAACTAAATAAATGGGTGCTTACTCTAACCTCCAAGAGATCCGGGCGTCGTCTCGACGCCCAAGTCGCTTCGCCATTGACACAATTATTCCCGCAGTCAAGCCATTGGGTCAACAATAGATATAGACATAGACCTCTCGATCGAGAGAGAAAATGAGACCACTTTGTCTGATGTTGGGAATCTAACGGAGAGAAAGGCATAGTCTGTAATCAGCTGTGCAGATGAGACTGAAAATCGGAAATAATCCAACATCTTTACTGCGGCCTATTTCGCACGAACTACAAAAGGAAACTTTCGGGATCTTCCATTGGTGAACGGCTGCGACGTAAATTCAAATGGCAAAGAGTACGAATGTTCCGTTATGATTTAGAAGGGTGAGTTCCTATTAGACCAAATACTATGCAACGGGTTTAGAACATTCCCACTCCAAATAGCTAGAATTCCGAGTTGAAGCTTGCTAAAACCCTATTCACCAAATGAGGGGTGGTATTCGTTGAGATCCTGAATGTCTCTCTCTCTCGCTTCGACTACCCAACTTTGCTACATCTTCCCAGCGGAGGTACTGCAAAGGGCCTATAAAGCATTGGAAAGGAACTGCGTAGGAGTACGAAGAGCTAGATTTTCTCAGATAACCAATCGGCACTTCTGACACTTGCCTCGCCGTTAACAAAATCTAAAGCAGTCAAGGACTTCAAATATTCGTTAAACTCCGCGGCCGAGTTAAGAGACATCACTCTCATCTGGGTTCCCGGCCATAGGAACATACACGGAAATGAGAGGGCCGATGAGTTGGCTAAGGACGAAGCATCTTTTGATGAATCCGAAGCAGAGACAAAAAATTATCCACTCGGATTCAACAAAAGCGAACGGCATCTGCAATTCGCACGTATGGCTGATACACGTTGGAACAACCTTCAAACCTGCAAAACTGCGGGGAACATAAGCCAAAGACAGTAGAACTTCTCAAGTGGTTAAGGAAAGGTATAGTCAAATTAATAGCCGCGATAACGGGACATTGGCACATTGGTGCGCATGCAGCTAAAATTGGCCTTCTCTGTGACAGCTCTCGGTGCGGTAACTGTAATCTTAAGAGAAGTAAAGAATCGGTCCTACACTATCACCAATATTGCCACGAATAAAGGAGAACACACTGAGGATTTTTTGCGTCCAAATTTCTTGGGGAGATCTCCAAATTCGCCATTACTAAACTAAAAAGATTCATCGGAAAATCCAAATGGTTTAACGAACCCAACGAAACATGGAAGCAGAAAAAATCAAGCACTAATTGGGTCCTGAACTGAAAAATTGTTTGAAGTAAAGGTTATCGTTTCGGTAAATCGTTTCTGACAAGGCCGTTTCGTTGACGGCCTTTCTATAGAAATAACAATTTTAGAAAGAGCTACGTTCAAAGATCTATATTTTTCTACATATATATCTAGAAGTTTTTTAGTGTTTTCATATATAAAAATGCGGGAATTTTCGGTCTAAATCATTTGGCTCCAAATGGGTGGACCTGCCTATTTTTTATTTTTTTGCAATCTTCTCTCTTAACGAAATGTCCAGCAATCGCCGAAATATCACTACTTCTAAACCCAAACAAACTCCTGCAGGTCAGCTTCAAATTTCATCTGTATATCAGCAAAAGCTAACTCCCAGCCATAGACAATGCCTTTTAGCTGTTGATGTCTTCCATCTTGTCATTATTGGCTGTCACATCGTTGGTGTCGAAAGTTTTGAACTTTGCTACTATCAGCCAGAGCAACCGTAAAACAGCGCATTCCTGCTGATGCTACTCAGTTTAACTTTGTTGTTCGTATTTTTATTATTTTTGTTTTTTTAATAATTTTGTCTATTCTTGGCGTGTTGCAAAAGCATCAGCTTAATATATTCCACACACGCTCGTATAGCAAATGCGACAACATCAGCCGTCTGCTGGCCTGCTAAGCTGCCTGCCTGCCTCACAGTGCCGCGACTCCATACAAATGATGGACAAAAATAGAAGGAGTGGTCAGAATTGGCTGAAACTTCACACCTAGAAGTATTATGCCCCTCTAATTTCAAAAATGAAATCGGTTTCTCTGTACCGGTTACTCATTTCGAGAAAACCGAGTTTTTCTTGCATTTTTATATGAAAATAGTCATTGTGGACATGTGTTTATATAAGTAGAAGGAGGCATCAGAATGGGCTGAAACTTTACACCTGAAAGGACTATATCACGGCAATTTAAGAAAAAAAAAACGTTTTTCAGCATCTGTTACCATTTAATTAAAAAAAAATTTTTTTTACAATTTTATAAAAAGGTAAAATAACTCATAATCATCGTAGACATATGTTTATAAAAACCGAAATAGTATTCAGAACTTGTTGAAACTTTACACCTAAAAGGACTAAGCCATGCTTATTTCAAAAATGAAATCGATTTTTCGGTACCGGGTACCCATTAAAAAAAAAAAGATTTTTTTTTACATTACTATATGAAAGACAAATAAGGCATAATCATTGCTGATTGTGGTGTTTACGAAAACAGGAAGGAGTCGTCAGAATTTATAGAAACTTTACATCTGAAGTGTCTATATTACTCTAATTTTAAGAAAGTAATCGGTTTTTTTGTAACGGGTACCCATTAAAAAAACACCGAGTTTTTGCACATGATTATTTAAAAATGAAATTGGCATATCATTGTTGCTAAGTGTTCAGAAAAATAGTCTTAATAGTCAAAATTCGTCTAAACTTTACTTCCTAAGTGAATACATTATGGTAATTTGAAAAATTAAGTCGGTTTTCCTTACATATTAACCTTTAGAAAAAAAAATTCTTTTGATTTCATTTAAAATAAAGCATAATCACTGTTAAGTAAGTAAGTAATAATAGCTGTTATATGGTAATAACATATAATATGTTAATAAAAACCGAACTAGTTGTTATAATCACTCAGTTTCAGAGTCCTCAGAAGAGGAGGAAGTGATCACTGATTCAAATGATTCCAACACTAGTTGTAAAACGTTGAAATTTTTGCACAGGTAATGTAATTAGTTAGGTGAACAAAATTATAAAAAGACTCAATCAAAAAAAAAAAATATAAAAAAATTGGACCTCCCTGATGTGCATACATTTGTACTATCATTTTCGCAAGCTGTTTTTGTTTGCTGCTTAAGCAAAATAGTACTCTTTATGCAGATGAAGAGTAATAGG